ACACCGCTCTAGACCAGTTACCCTGGGGGTGCCCAATCTGTTCATCCCACTGGCTAGATGAGCGGGGAGGGCTGATCCACAGGCAGGATTGTGCCCCGCGCACCAGGATCTGGCCCTGGGCCGGACACGACCCTCTCCCTGCCCCAAGTGCTGGGAGGTGCAGACCGCCGTCCCCTTCTGCCCCCACGTATCAGGATTGGTCCCCAAGGGCCACGCACCACCCCCTCTGAAATTGGGCCCCCTCCCAGCTCTGCACCCTGGGATCGGGTGCTGATCCAGGGCTCAGGGCCTGGGGCTCTCTATAGACCTGGAAATTTGGAGCCCCACAGACCAGGTGACGAAGCGTCATGGGCTGGCTCTGGCCCGCACGCGGGTGGTTGAGCACCCCGGCTCTGCCACTGATTTCCTGTGCAACCTTGCGCAAGTCATGTCACTTCTCCTAGCCTCGCTGCTCATTGGTAGCATGGGAATCGATCTAGCGGGGGCTGGTCCAGCTTTGAGCAGGGGGTTGGACTTGATGACCTCCCCGAGGTCCCTTCCAAGCCTCACTGTCTACGAATCGTATATCTTGCAGCAGCGTTGCATGACTCGATCGCACACAGCGATCCCAGAACCAGAGCGCCGGTCGCCAAACTAAACAGCTAGTAAGTAAGGAGCCTCTCATCTGCCATGCGCCTGTCCAAACTCCCATGCCGGCTGGCCCAGACGGGAACATGCTCACTCCTCCTCCTCCTCCTCAACCTGCGGAGTCGTCCACGTCTCCGGAGTCAATCCATCCACGTTTGCTTTGCTTCTGTCTGCCTCACAGACCTCCTTCCTTATGCATGCAGATGAATGGGCATCTCAGCCAGGCTCCAGCATGATTGGAGTTGATTACAGCCCAATTAACCGGTTGGTCTTTGTAGCAGCCCTGCCAGAGCTCCCCCTTGGCAGGCCACTGGACATGCTTGCTCTTAAGCTTCCCTTGGTGTAAGTGGAAGGCTGTTTCTTCCCTTGGCCAGCCAAATGCAGGCTTTTCCCTGGGAGCCTTTCACAGAAGCCGGGTCCCGTGGCCCGGGAGCAGGGCCGACTTCCTCACCCTGCCACAGCACACTGATTCCCAGTCTCCCCTCTCCTGGGCACCGTGGGCTTCCAGGTCAGCTCTTCAGGGGCTTGTGCACACACAACACGCGCTGGATTCGGGGCTGAGCTACTTTGGCCGGACAGCACAAGCAGCATGCGGATGATCAGCCGTGCACACATTTCCCTGCCTCCGTTTCTCACTATCCTGAAAAGGGAGGGAAGAGCTTGTCCCCACAACTTCAGCAGCTTCTTCTCCTAGGCTGGTTCCATATGAATAAATGATCGTTAAGGTTTCACAGCAAATTAGTTATGCTCCCTGGTCTGGCAGAGATGTGATACAGCCCTTGGCAGCAAACAGAGCATCCACATCCACTGAAACAGCCCCTGATTCAATATTCCCTCGTACGAGTTTCAGGCCTCTCGCCAGAAGTCATAAGCCGGGCGCGGACAGCTTCTGATAACACATCCCGTTCTTCCAGCTACCCGAGCGCTTCCACGTCGCTGGCAGCGCGGCTCCTGCTCCACAGGTCCCGCCGGCCCTGGGCCTCCGTCCCTTGGACGTGGCTCACCACTGCCCGCTCCTTGCTCTCCGATCGGCAGAGCGGGGGGTTCTGAGATAACGAGCGCCAAAATGAGGCAGGTGCAATTAGACAGCCATCATCTTCAGGCGGGGATCTGATCGCTGCCAAGGGGCTCGCCGAAACCCCCGTTAAGCTGTTTCAAGCACCTGTCCCGCTTTGCCACTCACGAAGCCCCTGTGAGACAGCTTGGGCTATTGCTGTGTCGCACGCAGGCAAACAAGTGCGCTCGGTGGTGAAGTAACTTGGTCAAGGGTGTGCAGGAGATCATCAGCAGAGCTGAAGAACGGGGTATCGGGGTCTGCTGCTCCTGGCTTGTTCCTTAACCCCACTTCCCCTTTTAAAGAGATTCACAATGGTGTAGTCGCTGAAACAAAAGTAGGTGGTCCACTCTCCCTCCATAACTCCTCCTCCACATCCTAATGCCTGCACTGGGTGGTTTATTATTTTTTTCTTTGCACGCTGGCAGTGCCCAGTGACCAGCTGCCCGTTTCTGCACCCTGGGCAGCGCTCAGTGCAGGGGCAGTGGCCAGCGGGAACTGGGCAGGCTGGCCAGAGGTTTGCTGCTGCGGGGGAGATGTCGCCTCCTCGTTTTGCTGCCGATGCGTGTCGAGCGGAGACTTAAAAACTGATTTGCGGTGACAAAAATAGGAAGCAAGAGGGCTGACCCTCTCTGACACCTCCCTCTGCAGCACTGTGCTCCTGCCAGCTGCCGCCACCCCTCAGACACCCCTAACCCCAGCACTGCTACCCTGTGCCCTCCCCACTGCTGAAGCTAGAGCCACTGCATGGAAGCTGCCCAGCATGGGGGAACGGGGGACAGGAGGGTGGTGCCCCCCACGTATGCAGTGCCCGGACCTCATGCCCATTGTTACAGTACTTATGCCAAGGTCTGCCAGTACAAAAGCTCCCTCGGGGACTCAGTCGGCAGGGCACAGCCCAGAAGGCAGCGGTGCCAGTCAGCCCCGTGATCGATGCTACGGCAAGTGGGGGTGCACGTCTCTTCTCGCTGCACAGTGAGATGTGGCAGATGTGCCGCGGCCGGCATCCTCTCAGGCGGGCAGCAGTGCTTGCGATTTGTGCTCCCATCTTCTGTGTCCAGGCAATGCAGCAAGCGCCAGACCCGCTCCCTGCAGCGCGGAGGCTGCCGGGTCACGTCGGCAGTGCGGACCTTTCACGGGGGCTTGCAGGAGAAATCCTCCCCTCTCCCGACACTGTAAGAAGCTGCGGGCCCTGCTCTGTGAACCAGGTGGGAACTGGTTGAGCGTGCCTGGAGTGTCATCCTTGGGGTCAAGAGCTCCTGCTGACCGGAGGCCGAATCCAGAAGCGATGTGCCAAGTGATGCATATGAGAGTCATTCACACGTCAGTATGGAAGTAGGAACAGAAAAGCATCCTGCGTCTCGCTCCGGTTCTGGTTGGCTGAGGTCCGGGTGTCCAGGGGTTAGGCGGTGGCAGGGTCTCCCCAGCAGGGAGGAGACCTCAGTGGGCCTCGAGTGGGGCTAGCTGGCTCCCGCATCCCCTCCTGCAGCCCACGGTGCAAGGAAGGGAAGGGGTCTCAGGGGTTTGAGCATGTTATGCAATCTCCAGTTGGAAAATAGTCTCTCAGGACCACAGGTATCTGGGCACGGTTTAAATTAGGGCTGATCTGCGCCTGGGGCTGGACCTGCTCAGCCAGCTGCAGGATTGGGCCACCACAAACAGGGAGGCAGGTGTGAGGTATGCCTTTGCCTCTCAGGAGGCTGCCTGCCTCTGGACTCACCCGTCTCCCACTCTCCAGACACAGAGCTTAAAAGTGGCAGATGCCCATCTCCCACCGCAGGCTCCCCTATGCATCTTCCCCGGCTGAACGCACGTGCGTGAGCAGAGCTGTTAACACAAATGCTCGGTGTCTTTTTGAAATAAAAATAGCAAATCACTTTATATAAGAGAGACATTTTCTTCAACCTGTGTCAACGGTCATGGTGGTGGGCTACCCTGGGGGGCCAGCAGCGTCCCGGGATACTGATAAGCCAGGAGTGCAGTTCTGCTGGTGGCAAAGTACGGGAAGGCTCACTGATTTCTGTGGTACCAGGGGGTTGGAAAACCTCTTTGACCATCATCCGCGGTCAAGGGGGAATCCAAAAAATGTCTCCAACTGTTCATTGCACCTCTGGTTCACGTCCCAGCAAACTTCATGTCACGCACTCTGCTGTCCCCCGGCTCATGGGACACGGACCCTGCTCACTCATGTGGCCACAGCTCTGTGCAAATGTCACACTCCTTTATTTTATTTTTTTTAAGAAATGTTTCCTGTTCCAAGCCAAATCAGCCAAATCAAGTCCAAATCCCTGAGTCAGTCGAGAACCATCCGTGGCCCTTAACCGGCAAACATCTTCCACCCCTACCAGGGGCTTCAGATGTTTCCAACATCTTTTGGCAGGCATCCTACGTGCAGACCCAAGCCCGGAGGCTTGGGGTTCGGATGCCCCCCAGTTTTGCCTGCCCTCAAGCGTATGGCTGCAGGAGCAAGCTAGGGAGGAGCCTCCCACTTCCATAAAATGAGGTTTAAGCCCCAACACCTCAGTGGGTGCTAACCCACGCCAGAAGAACAGTAATCCTGGAGAGGGTTTAAGGAAAACTGCCTTCTTGGACCCAGATACATGGTGTTTCCCCTGCCACACACCTGCTGCTGTTCTTATCATGCAAAAATGCATCAGCCCTGATGGTTAAGAAGAGGATCTTCCGCAGAGCTGTAAGGATTGCAATCCTTTGCTTTCAAACAAGCCTCTGAAAGGGCTTTGCAGACC